CAGAATTATCCAAGAATATAATACTTTGAGACTTTGAAGTTAGTGCAAAGTGGAGTAGTTCGCCTTGGTGATAATAAGGCTTACAAGGTTCATGGTATTGGTACGGTCAGACTTAAAATGTTTGATGGTCGTGAGTTTCTTCTTCACAAAGTTAGGTATGTTCCAGAACTCAAGCAAAATTTGTCATCTATAAGTATGTTTGATCATCTAGGTTATTGCACTAGAGTTGAACATGGAGAAATGAAGATTTCACATGATGAAGTATTATTACTAAAAGGTCTAAAATATGTGGCCTATATATTTTAGAAGGTTCAAATGTTATCATTCATTCATCATTAACTAGTGGAGACTTTCATGACAAAAAGGAGCTATGTGATTTGAGGTCAAAGCATTATGAATGTCTTGAGGTTGTTTCAGAAGTGTATAATGAATTTTTCAAAAATCAAGGGATAAAAGTGCATATGACCGCTGAGTTGTTATTGAGTTTTTGGGGAAGGGCATATGTCAAAACAACTTACTTAGTTGATAGAGAATTTTTTTCAAAGTAAAAATAGTAAAAATCAAGGGATAAACCTATTAGAAACTATAATGGAGAAAACTCAGTTTGAGATGGAGTTTTCTACTATGATGCTAGTAGTAGTGAGGGAACAATTACAGAGATCTTTGATTATCATTTGACTCATGATAAGGTAAAGAGTGTGCTTGTAGCATCTCAAAGGGACGATTATGTTAGCCTTGGGTGTTATGTTTTGAATGTGAATGAAAGGTTTCAAAATAAAAAAGAAAGAACCCGCGGGAAGGCATTTGAAAATAGGTGGATTCAATGATTTTTAAAAAATCATAATTATGGGCTTGTTAAAAATACCTTGGCAAAAAATGATAATTAGAAACAAGTGGATGCAAGTGGAAAGATCAAGATTCAAGGGTGACTTGCATTTTATCAAGGTTATTGATTAGAGTTTCACCATGGCAGAGAGAAACAAGATTGTTGATGGTTAAATTGACATCAACATAGTTTCAAGTAAAGATGGAGATTGTTTAAGCATGCCTTAAAACCTTTTTTGATGAAGAGAAATAAAACATATTTCAAGATTTCCAAAAATCAGGAAGCCGAAAAGCAGCACGAATGTCTGGTTTTGGCGGTTCGCAGATTTCGAGTTTGACCGGTTCGATTTGTGAATCAATTATTTAATATTAGAATATTGAATATATATTAATTTAGAAATATTCTAAATTAATATAAAATATTATAAGATATTTAGAATATTTTATTCTAATAATTAATGGGTTGTTTTTTTGGGCTTGGGTCTTAACTGTTATATATATATATATATATATATATATATATATATATATATATATATATATATATATATATATATATATATATATATATATATATATATATATATATATATATATATATATATATATATATATATATATATATATATATATATATATATGTTGTTTGAAAGTGTTACAATCTTAGAGTTTACAGCAATATATTAGAGCAATGGTTTATGGTATTCTCAAGGGAACCTTAGAAAGGCAAAGGTTTGGAGAAATCTTTGGAGTTTTTTAAGGTTATTAGGAAACACTGGTTACATCTTGGGTTTGAGTTATTCATATATTGAAATTTGGAGAGGTTGAGAAACACTTGGATAGAAAATAGGGTTATTCTTAGGTGCCTTTAGGGTTATTCTTGGGAACTCTGGAGGTGAAGGCTATTTTTTTGCAACTCATATGTAATCTCTTGTAACAACTCTGACAATAGTGAATTAAAGAGCTGCTCTCTCCCTCAGAGTAGATCATTTGATTGAACTGGGTAAACAAACATTTCGTCTTTTTCTCGCCTTATTATGTTATACCTGATGTTTATTATTTATCATTGCTAAAGACCATTTATTTTGGTTGCAACTGTTCTCTGCCTCATAAATTGAAATTGAACCTTGTCGTTAATCACAACACCAAAGGTGGTCTTGATAGTGGTGTAATATTTCAGTTGCACTTGCTCTTAGAGAATCCAACTAGCAATCCCTTGAGGTTTTTAGGTCCTTTGGGTTAAGGCATAGTCTTTTAAGCATCTCCCAATATAGAATATATGCAGTGTTTCCTTGGTCTACAAGGACTCTTTTGGTCTTTCATTCATCACATCTAACAGTAATGACTATGAGGTCATCATTGTGAGGGTGAATGTCGGTCGAGTCTTTCTCAGAGAAGGCGATAGTAGATTTTGTCGCCCTTAGCTTGCCTTCACCTTCAATATTAGGGAGGTATTCTATATTCAAAATTTAATGAGCGTACCTTCTATGGTTGAAGCTAGTCTCCCCGCCATCACGAATCCTTCTGCACTAGTATTGAGCGTGTGGCGCATAACTTTGTTGCCATTGCCTTAGGATGCCTCCTTCATGTTACTAGGCATGTAGCTCCCTACATCATCTCGTCCATGAGAGGTGGATTTTTATGGTCCATGGGAGGAATCACCATTGCCATCTTCTTGAGGTGTCCCTCTTGGATCTGCCCATCGATCTATTTCTTGAGTTGGTAACAATCTTTGTTGTGGTGCACTTTGACTCTATGTAACTTGAACTATCTACCTGGTTCATGACCCATTACATCTACTTTCAGAGCTGGAGGTGTATAGATGTTGTGTAAGTGGAGAACCTTGCACCAGATCTTTTCACGACAAGTGGTTAGAGGAGTGAAAGTCCCTATTGTCTTGCCTACTCTCTTAAAAGTAGTCTTATCTTTGATGGGAGATGTATAATTACTCTTCCACTTGTGGTGTGAACCTTTAGAGTTGGGAACATGCTCCTTGATGTCTCGCGTCTTCTTCTCAGTGTTTCTCTCCTCACCTTTTATATAACATTCTTCCTTGATGACCACTTCTGCTAACGAAAGTGTTAGCTTCTTGGCGAAATAATCATTGAAGTATCCCGCGTTGAGTTCATTTTGGAGTTTCCCTACAAACATTTTTTGGTTTGGGAAAATGACCTTGATGGTGGATTCATTTAACCGGGCCAGATAGTCCCTCAACGACTCTGAAAGACCTTGTCGTATATTGAACAAACTAATGGTGGGCATTTTTCTATGACGACTAGTGGTGAACTAGTGTACGAGGTTCTTCACCAATTCTTGATAATTGGCGATGGAGGCTTGGCATATAACCATATACTATCACGAGGCTGTATTCCTGAAGGTGCTAGACAACAATTTGCATTTTAAGGAGTCAAGTACTCCAGTGATGGTTATTTGTGTGTTGATGGAGACACCATGTTCATAAGGATCACTACACCCATTGAACTTGGCCAAAGAGGCAGGTTTAAATCCTCCAGGGACAAACGTTTCCCATATCTCATTTGAGAGTGGTTGGGGATCCAACACTTCCATCTCCTATTGGGGATTGGACTCTTGTTGGCGCCATCTGATATTATGGATATTGTCCTCTAGTATTTGATTCTAACGGTGTAGTTTGTCCAAGACGACATATATCTTCGACAAGGCATTGGCATCACTACTATCACTAGTATCCTCCGACGTATGGGATAAAACTCTCTTTTTAACCATAATTGAGGATGGCTATGTAAAGGAGTGGAAGGTAACAATGAGTTTGGTGATTGTAATAAAGAATGTGTGACCCAAGTTAGTTTTGTCGGGGCCTCACCGTGGACGTTATTGTAATGGTAAAAAAGTACTGGTGAGCATGGTATCCCTATATATGGGTAGGGGATATATAATCAGAGACCTTAGTTGATTTATAAAAATTTAGAGTGGTTAAGGCTTGTCCGCGAGGCGACGTGAAGCCCTGTGTGATGGTGTTACAGTTGTTCTAGAGGATCTGCTCACCCGAGATGAGAGATTTTGTATATCAGTGTAATTCTTAGGTATAAATATGTAAGTTATCACCCCATTCTCCCGTTAAGGATGAATTATTTATAGAGGAGGCCCTTGAACCCCAAGACTTAGAAAATTCTAAAAGACCGTAATTGTTTCCCTTTAACTGGAAGAAGTTGTTGACCACCAATTATTACGAGAGTTGTGGCATGATCCGTTCTAACATAACTTAGTGGGGATGATATATTCTATTATATACTTTATAAATATAGTGCTTAATTTAGACGATGTCTTCTCTTGAATTGCCTCGATTTGAAATTCTCACAAATATAACTCTACAATTTATAATTTATATCTAAGAAAAAAATTACAGTAAATACTAAAATATTTACTAATATTTTATTTTATATAAAAAACTGTAAGTTCATAAAATATTGATTATAAGATGAAATAAAAAAAATATAAGATGATAAAGATATGAGAAGGCATGTGAAAGGGTAAACGTGGAAAAGCGCAACTTAGTTTTATTTTTGCCGAGTATATTAACACTCTCTCTTCTATTCTCATTCGTCTCTCTCTAACTCCACGGTGTAGATCCGAGGAGTTTTCCCTTTCGCTATCTCTTCATTCCTCCGCTTCTCTCAATTCCCCAAACACTCTTCAACGCTCTACCAGGTTTCGCTTTTTTTTTTTTTCATATGATTGTTTCAATTATCGTTAATGCGTTACTATGTATTATGAATCTCTCGTTGATCTAATTGTTTCTCGTTCAAAGTTTACGTCTTTTAACCTACCCTTCATCGTTATATTTGTTTTCATGCGGTTTATTCAGTTTTCAGGGGAAAAATCGATTTTTTTTAGATTTGTTGGTTATGGGGTGGTGAATAAAGAACTAATGTATTGATTTTCAATTTAGATACTTTGCATGATTTAATGTGTTGTACTCAATTTGAGCCTGCAATTAGGTTTTGAATTTTTAATTGGGAAATTTTGCTTTTATAGTTTCACTTTGATTTTGGTACTGCGAATCTTGTGTACTGGGCTAACTAGGTTATAGATGTGTGTGAGAGTTTTTGGAGTCGTGGTCGCGGTTTAACCATGACAAAACAAATAGAGACCTTATTAAACTACGATTTAACTGACAATATTTTTCGAGGTCCTATTTATGCAAAGTTTAACCTTAAAAAATTGTGGGTCACGCCCTCAAAGACAGCCCTGGTGAGTGTAACAAAAGGATAAAAGTTATGTGCACTTCCTCTTATTCTGTTGTTAGTGTTGTTCTTGAACAGATTTTGGGGCTTTTGTTTTTTATAGGTTTCAGTTTTGCTTGAATCTCTGAATGTATGATTTTTTCTATTTCTTTTTCTTAACATTTTTTTTTGTTTTTTTTGTTTTTGTATTTTTGTAGTGATGGCAGGTTTGGCTCCAGAAGGATCACAATTTGATGGTCAACAATATGACACTAAGATGAATGAATTGTGTGTTCCTGTGCTTCATATTCTTTGCTATTTGAAATTATTGAATTCATTGTCCATGTACTTTTTTTCTCTCTCTGTAATTTGACGTTTGTAAATTAACTTCACAGGCTTGCCAGTGACGGGCAAGAATTCTTTACCTCGTATGATGAAGTCTTTGAAAGCTTTGATTCTATGGGGCTGCTAGAAAATCTTCTCCGAGGCATTTATGCTTATGGTATGTACTGGCAAATTGATCCACTTATATTAAGTATTTTTTCTCTTTAAGTTTGCGATGTCGGTTTCTCTGTAAGCACTAATCAAGGTTAACATTTGAGTATGCTATGGTTTAGATCTAATATGTTTGGACTTTTGATGTATTTGATGTATTACCCTTGTCGAAATTATAAAATTCCTAAGTCCTATAGTTTGTGCAGTGAAGCTAACTGAATTTATAAGTTTTGTTTTACAAATCCGTGAGATTTATTGTTTGGTAATTATATTTGCAATGGTAATGATGCACAACAATGTTTTTGATTTTGTATATGATACATTTTTGTTTACAGGTTTTGAGAGGCCTTCTGCAATCCAGCAAAGGGGAATTGTTCCTTTCTGCAAAGGTCTTGATGTGATTCAACAGGCTCAGTCAGGAACTGGAAAGACAGCAACATTCTGTTCTGGAATTTTACAGCAACTTGATTATGGATTGGTTCAGTGCCAAGCTTTGGTTTTGGCTCCAACAAGGGAGCTAGCCCAACAGATTGAGAAGGTTATGCGGGCTCTTGGTGATTTCCTTGGTGTTAAGGTTCATGCTTGTGTTGGTGGGACAAGTGTTCGGGAGGATCAGCGCATTCTCCAAGCTGGTGTTCACACTGTTGTCGGTACTCCAGGGCGTGTGTTTGACATGTTGCGAAGGCAGTCTCTTCGCTCTGATTGCATCAAGATGTTTGTTCTGGATGAAGCTGATGAAATGCTTTCACGTGGTTTCAAGGATCAGGTTTGTCAATATACTTGTTTTACCCCTTTTGACTTCACTAATTCCATTGTTTGTAAACACTCGTGTCGTCGTGGCAGTTTGATGAAGCCTGAATTCCATATTTTTATTTGGTTGGTGTTGCAGATCTATGATATCTTCCAGCTGCTCCCTGGTAAAATTCAAGTTGGAGTGTTCTCTGCTACAATGCCACCTGAAGCTCTTGAGATTACTAGGAAGTTCATGAACAAGCCAGTGAGAATTCTGGTGAAACGTGACGAGCTGACCCTCGAGGGTATCAAGCAGTTTTACGTCAATGTCGACAAGGAAGAATGGAAGCTAGAGACACTATGTGACCTCTACGAGACACTGGCCATCACTCAGAGTGTCATTTTCGTTAACACCAGGCGCAAAGTGGACTGGCTCACCGACAAGATGCGAAGCAGAGACCATACAGTCTCGGCCACTCACGGTGACATGGACCAGAACACTAGGGATATCATCATGCGTGAGTTTCGGTCTGGCTCTTCTCGTGTTCTCATTACCACTGACCTCCTGGCCCGTGGTATCGATGTGCAGCAAGTGTCTTTGGTGATCAACTATGATCTCCCAACTCAACCTGAAAACTATCTTCACCGCATTGGTCGTAGTGGACGATTTGGAAGAAAAGGTGTTTCTATAAACTTTGTGACATTGGATGATACTAGAATGCTGGCTGATATTCAGAAATTCTACAATGTGACTATTGAGGAGCTGCCATCCAATGTTGCTGATTTGCTCTGAGGAGTTCATTTTTGTTCTCTGTTAAGTCATCCTGGATTTTTCTTTTGGACAAGTTCTATCTTTTTGATTTTTGGTTTTTGATTTTTTACTCATTAGAGATCAAACATGTGATCTGATGCTATTTGTATTGGAATTTTATCAAATTTGTTTGATTAATTAATTAGTTAAGAGAAGTTTGCATGTATTTATTCTTATCTCCTTCTGTACAGTATCATATCCATTTTGATTTCTAACCTTCTGCATTTTAACCCGAGTACTTACATCAAAGAAGAGAAAAAGAAGTCAAAATCTCTGCCTTCTAGATTTAATTCTAAACACAATATGTGGACTAACACTTAAATTCTTTGATATGATATATTAAGTTATAGACAAATTTTTAAGATTTGAATTATGATCCGTTACTAATTTAGAAAATTTGGATCATTGGTGGAATGTTTAATGATACTAGTTGATATGTACCTTCTAAAGTAGATTTGACCAGAATGGACTGCACAATTTGCTTATAGTCTCCAGCGTTGGGCCAAGGTCTTTTCATTGGGTTGGTCAAGCAGGTCCAAAGTGGAGATTGTCAGGTCCTACGTGAGTAGTGGGGACCAGCACGTGGTCCCACACCTGGATGACTTCTTCCGCAAGATCATGAGGATATGAATGTGGGCTTTTTGGGGCCACGAAGACTCTGATATTCAGAGACGTTGATAGTCAGTCCTACGAGGAGGATGCTCGTGAGGTGCTTTTGTTCGTCGTGGATGCTCGTCGCCAGACGCGAGATCGTGTGAGGGGATCAGTCTTGGTCACGAAGAGGATCAGAAGATGACCTCGAGGTCCTCCTGACCGGTGATGATCTTCCTAAGACTAACTGGGTTTATCCCCGTGTGATGAGGTTGTCTCCTTGCGGGGAGTGGAAGTTGCTGCCCGACGCGGTCAAGGACAGAACTGGCCAGTATGCCTTGACCGAAATGATTGGGTTGGGCCTCACATGGAGTTGGATCAAGGGCAGACCCAATCCAGAGCAGGAGTCCCCTAAGTCGTTGCTCCCGATGAAGGAGTTATGACTTAAGTCCGACTTTTTCTTTTACGAAGTGCGTTACTCGACAAGGATCTTTCATTGTGTTGACGGAGAAATTCGTCGATATATGGGTTTACCCGAGCAACGCTCGGAATGGACTCGAGATGGGATCATTCTAGTCGCAGGGAGGAGAAAGCCTGCGGGGTGTAGGCACGTAGTGTGATCTTTGGGATTGTAATGGTGGTCTAGAGAGTAGGAGTCATCATTAGCTGAGCGCGTAGGTGTCGAGGAGAAAGGGGGTTGTTGAGCTGCCCGACGCGACGTTTCGCATTCTACGTCAGCTCTATATATAACGCTCCAAGACCCATTATTCACATTTATATTCTCGCGCTCTTCACTCTCCCTATTGCTTACACCGTGCCGTTTTATTCAACCGTTAACGCCACCGCAGAATCCGCCACGTGTTCTTCATCTACCCTCGTTATTCCTCATCTATTCTTGTTCAAGTAAGTACTTTTCGTGATACTCTTGTTTAGATTGGCTTTGATGATGTTTAAGTTGTAGAATTTTGCATCTGGGGGGTTTTGCTCGGGGTATTCATGCGTGCTTTTTGTGTTTGAGTTCGTGTTATTCATCTTTTCACCGACACTTAGGTGAATTTACCCCGTGGTCTCCACACGTTACCGCGAAATTCATGAATTTTGCACAAGAAATTGATGCAATCTCCGAAGAATTCATGATTTTGGCTGGAAATTTCATATTTTGCTCGCTATATTCATCATGTGCCCGGGGTGTTCATGAAAACAATCGTTCGTCGTTATAACCGTTGTGTGGTATTATAAGACTGGCATGATTTTCATGCCCTGATCGAGGGTCGTGTACTTCCCCTTTCTGCCCGAGTGAGTGTCGACTTGGTCTGGACGCCGCATAACCTTTTCACCTGCGTCGTGGAGGGATGGATTTGGATTTGCTGTCGAATTCACCATTTTCCTTTGCTTTACAAGTAAAATGACCGACACTCCCGAATATTCTGAGCACATGGATGTCGAAGAGACCAACATAGTCGAGGAGGGTGTCAACTTGGTTGACACGGTCGATGACCCTGCATTGTCTTAGGTCGAGGCAGAGCCTCGGAGGAATAGCCTCGATATATAGTTATAGTAGGTGGCAGGCTTACACTGTCATCGAGTATGGAGGCGATCAGGAAGGTTTCCAAAGAAACTTCAAGATCTTGCGAACGACGCCCACCGCTCGAATATGCTCGGAGTTCGAGGAAGACCGCTTCCCCATGCACGAGGTCGTATTCAAAGAGTTAGGGCTTCGCTTCCCTTCAATGATTTTCAGGTGGGGGTGTTCAATCACTTGAACCTAGCACCATCTCAACTTCACCCTAACGCCATTGCCTTCATTCGGGCATTTGAGATTACTTGCCAGTTCCTGAGGATCAGGGTGACCATTCCCCTGTTCTTCAGGGTTTTTCATTTACAACGGCAGTCCCGGGATGGGAAACACAGTTAGGTCTCCCTCAAACAGTCGAAGAGGCTGTTTAGGATGTACATGACCTTTGTCCACGACTTCAAATATAGATGGTATGTCGGGCAACTTCTACTCAGGCAGGCGTGGACGCCGTGTTCGACTCGGCCACCGTCGTGGATGAAAATGGTGAACTGTGTTACGATGAAGAGGGTAACCCGGAGGTTAGGCGGCTCTCAAAGTTTCTCATCCATTGGTGTTCGGGCCACTACGATCGTGGTCTTGGGCATTACCATACTCCCGCCGGCGGCATGAGCGCTGAAGACGAAGAGGCCTATGACGTCCTTAATTGGTTCGTCGACGGGTTCTTCCCCGCCAGGTGGGTCACGAGGGAAGGACATGACATCCTCTATGAAGATGGTGAGCCAACGTTCAAGACGCGCCCGATCAACACCAAGGCGCTCGTCGAGTGTCGTTCTTACAGGCAAGCTGTGAATCTCTTAGGTTTCTGCTCGCTAGATTTTAGCTAATACCCTTAGCGGGTGAAGGACTTAGCTATAATATTGTTTTAGCTTCACAATATTCCAAGGTCGGGATAGTGGTTCTCCATTTAATTTTTTGAGGTAGTATGCTCCGGTGCCCGTAGCTCCTTAGATGCGGTATGGCCCCTCCCAGTTTGCGGTCAGCTTCCCTTTGCAGAATCCTTCTGGTTTCTTTGCAAGACTAGGTTGTCGACCCGAAATTCACGTTTTATGACTTTGTTGTCATGGCGTAAGGCTACCTGCTTTTTTAGTGTGGCCTCGCGAAGAGCTTCTCCTGATCGAATTTCTTCGACTAGGTCGAGCTCATCTCTGAGGGCCTCGTCATTCATCTACTCGTCAAGGGGCATTTTGGTTCGCCTGGATGGCTCCATGATTTCTACCGGGATAACAGCCTCGATGCCGTAGTTTAGTCAGAATGGTGTCTCGCCAGTCATCGAATAGGGCGTTGTTCGATAAACACATAGGACGTTGTGTAGTTCTTCGACCCAACCCCTCTTAGCTTCGCCTAGCCTGCATTTGAGTCCTCGCAAGATAACCCTATTTGCGGCTTCAGCCTGCCCGTTGGTTTGGGGGTGTTCGACCGAGGTGAAATGTTGTTTGGTGCCGAGTTTGGCGATGAAGCTTTGGAAACTTTGATCGATGAACTGGGTGCCGTTGTCCGTGATGAGCGCTCGTGGTATCCCAAACTGAGCAAGTATGTTTCCTTTGTAGAAACATAGGATGTTGTGTGAAGTGATTTTCGTTAGGGCTTTAGCCTCTATCCATTTTGTGAAATAGTCTACGACCACGATGAGAAATTTGTTCTGGTATGTCCCTTGCACGAAATATCCGAGGATGTCCATTCCCCACCAGGAAAATGGTCACGGGGAGGATATTGTATTTAGCTCGTGCGGGGTGCGGGGTGCATGCCAGCGTGCCTCTGGCATTTTTTGCATTTATTGACATGATCTTTGGCATCTTGTTGCATGGTCGGCCAGTAGTACCCTGCTCGCAGCGCCTTTCGTTCTAGGGATCTTCCGACCATGTGTTGGGCCTTGATTCCTTCGTGGATTTCCCGCAGTATCTCGGGATTACAGATTCTTCGACATATTTCAAGAGCGGGATGGAGAATCCCCGATGGTACAATTTGTGTTCGAGTACCACGTACAAGCATGCTCGTCATTTGGTTGTGGATTCCTCTCTTTGGTTCAGAGGAAGCTTCCCTTTTGTCATAAAGTTGAATAACGGGATCATCCAGCATGAGCTGTCCCCGATGGCATTCACTTCGGGCGGCACCCTGGACCTTTCAATGCTCGGGCGAGATATGGATTCTTGTATGACTGATTTGTTCCCGCCTTTCTTCTTCGTGCTCGCGAGCTTTGAAAGTATGTCGGCCCACGTGTTCTGTTCGCGTGGCACGTGTGTGATTTCTGCCCGGTCAAACTTTTTCATATGTTCTCTAACCAAGTTCAAATATCCAATGAGGCTGTTGTTCTTAGCCTGGTATCCCCCTTGAACTTGAGATGCGACAAGTTGGGAATCAATGAAAATGTGTATCTCTCGGGCGCCAAGATCATCGGCCAGTCTTAATCCTGCGAGTAAGGCCTCGTATTCATCCTGATTGTTCGAGGTCGGAAAGGAAAGAGTGAGAGAGTGTTCGATCACGACACCTTCCTCGTTTTCGAGGAGGATCCCTGCTCCACATCCTGTCGAGCTGGAAGCTCTGTCCACAAAGATGGTTCACTTGTGCTCCTTCCCTGCGGGGGGATTGTGAGTGGTCATCTCCGCAACGAAGTCGGCCAGAGCTTGGGCTTTGAGGGCCTTCCTGCTTTCATATTGGATGTCGAAATCTGAAAGCTCCAAGGACCACTTTAGCATTCGACCTGCCATGTTCGGTCGACCTAAGAGTTGTCTTACGGGTTGGTCTGTCCGTATGATGATCGTGTGTGCCAGAAAGTAGTGTTGAAGCCTTCTCGCCGCATTGACGAGGGCCAAGACCA